AATTAACACTCAATCACATAAATCTCACTTGAATTAAGCAACAAAACACACTTAAATCCCTCTTAATTGCTACCGGAATTTCCCCATTTTTCCAACACAATTCGGACATACAAGGCAGCAAACTAAATGGACAATTTAAGCCTTAAAAGGCTATCACATACCAGAATTTAGCAAGCAAAACCAAGCTTGGCTGAGGGAGAAGCCGGCGGCAAGTGCAGGAGCAATTCACGGGGCTTGCAAAAATTGAAGGGAATAAGAGCAATCAAAGTTAACCCAAGCCAATTCAAGCAAGAACAAAGGAAATTAGGGGCTGTTCTTACCGAAAATTCAAAGCAATTCGCCCCCACAACAAGAGCAGCCGGCAGACATTGCAGATCCGGTTTCTGCAGAGAGGGAGGGGAAATTTTTGGGTTCTTTATGGGTTCTAGAACAAGAAAGGAAGGGGAAAATACCAAGCTTCCTTACCAATTTTCCAAGGCATGGCTGGGTTTCCCTTCTTTTTTTTTCTTCTCGGGCTACAGCAGGAAGAAAAGCAGAATCGGGTCTGAGGAGGAAGAAAAGAAAGAAAGAAAAAGAAAAAGAAGGAAGCTGATCCTTATCCTAAAATCTTCCCCTCTTTAAGTCCCTCAAGTTTGGACATTTCAGCTATTAAGCCCAAAACAATATTTTTCTCACACAAAAACCCTTAAATGCTAAAATAGCACAAAATTTTGGGGTATTACAAGGAAACTGCAACTAATCAGCCAGTGGAAGAAGTTGGTTGTGATCAATTGTCTAAAATTAATAAGGTGGAAAAGAGGATGCATGAAATGGAGAATTTGTTGGAAAAGAAAATGCAGACTGCATTATGTAAACTTGGATGTGTTATTGTTGCACTTTGCTTTCTGAATTTGGCATTTATAAACTTCTTGTTTTGGTAGAATGTTGGAAATTTGAGTGTGGTTAAGTGTGTTTTTGGGGGCATTTCATGTAACTTTGGAAATGGCCAAAAGTTATACCCAATTTAACCAAAAATTTATCGCATGAAATGAAATGTCTTGTATTGTTGTGTCCATCACTATCACTTGTTTGCAAGCAAGGTGTACAAATAATTTCCATTTTTGGCCATTCATTTCAAGAAAATATACAAAACCAAATTTTGCCATTCATTTGAAAGAAAATATACAAAACCAAATCCCCTATTCAACCATACATTAAGTGCTGTTTTTGCAATTTACTGTTACAAAATATTGAAAATGGTGAATCCATATGACCATATATACTTTTGTTTTTGGTCATCACCTTTAAAAGCTATATAGATAAGGACATGACATTGGTTTAACCTATTTGGTCACAATTTGAATAAACCAAAGCCCTAAATGACCACTATTCAAAAAAGACAAAAAGTAACTAACAAAACATCTCCATTTAAAAAGCAATATTTAGGCCTTCTCATTGCCTTCTGTTATGGTACGTCTTGCAGGCACACTACTGGCAGCAGCATCATCAACACCCTACATCATTCAACCAGCAAATGCATTTAACAATCTAACTATAAAACTTATATAAAAAAAAAAAAGGAATATGGTTTCAAACATACAATAAAGCTCCCTATGGCTGTAGGGACCCTCGCGTTCTTTTTCTTGCTACCTGAGGTTGAGGCACCTTCACCTCCCTGTTTCTTTCTCTTGTTTACACCCTGGAACCAAAAAAACAGTTTTAAAGCATGTTCCTTCAAGCATCCACTAAATTCATAGGGGAGAAATACAGTTTCAAAGGGAAAAATATCCTCAATCACCAACTAAATTATCAAAAAAAAAAA